ATGGGGAAGATGAAAGCCAAGGTCTCAGGAAGAAATGGTTTTCATTACATTGCTCTTTTAGATAGTGTCAAGTGTGTTAGCAGAGGGTGTCGTTCATATCATAAATGCAAACACTTAAGAGCAATAATGCATTTTTCATTACAAATATGTTAGTATCTTGAAACTAACGGGATCTGTTGGAAAACTTGGCCCCTCTGTCACTGCGGGAGAGGCGGTGGTGCACTGTAGAGATACTCCCTGTCTATGGGCGAGCTGTGTCCGTAGCAGTCTACCCATGGTGGCACACTGCTGGTCAGCTAACATACGCAGTGCCTGTCCTGAGACTGGATATTGATCTTATCAGGTAGGACTGTCCCCTTCAACTCCTCATTAGGGCTGGAATTTGCTGAGGAAAATGTTTGGTCTTAGGAAGATAGGCAGGATGCCCAAGTTTATTGGTCACAGCTATAGAAAATAAATATATATTGTGGTTTTGAAGAAAACATACTGAATTTGTCAATCGTTTCCCCCCTCCCAGCCTTATATCCTGGCAGATGAGTTACGTCGAGAGCTGCCTCCTGAGCAGGCTCAGTACTGCATCAAGAGAATGCCTCCCTACACTGGCCCAGGTTCTGTCCCCGGGGCTCTGGATTACACCTCTTTCTCGTCAGCACTGTATGGAGAGAGTGACCTCTGATTCTGTAATTGGCCGTATTCATGGTAAACGCCAAAAACACCCACCTTATTGCCCAGATTGCTTCTCCAAAGCTTTGAAAAGCTGTAAAATGAGTTTTACAAATACAGTAGGTACAGTCAGTGTAAAGTGCTAGTAACTAAAGAAACCAGTGTATATTAAGGTGTGCGGCACGCTAGACTTATGCACTATTGGTTTTAGGTTGTCTGTCCTATACAGTGCTAGAAAATATATATAAAACACCCGCAAGATATTAACTTTGGAAAGAGCCATTCAGAAAATAGAATGTAAAACCTAAGAACATTGAAACTCACAAAGTATTTCTTCATTTTCAAACTGTTTCAATGCCGTACGTGCTTCTTTTACAATGTTCATAAAACTGTGTTAGAAGTTGTGCTTTTTTTCTTTCGTAGCGCAGTATTACTTTCTTCTAATGATTTCTGATTTTTGTATGCTTCTACTGGTGGAATTTAATAAAATAGTAAAATGCCGTTTTTCAGGGAAGAAATATATCAACCAAGTAAACTAGTTAATTATGAAAATAATCCAGAATGCTATGGTTTTGTCTCTTAAAGGTGGTTTTCTCTTCTCAGAAACAGTTGTAATATAGGAGGGGAAAGCTGAAAAGCTGATTAAATTGCAGGTTTAGAGCTCTGTAAGCAGTACTTTTCTTTTAAGCCTTTAACTTTTACAGCTGAGGGAGTACAACTTTTATAATCAGAAATAATAAGAAAGACAGTTTCATGGGAGCTGTTTTGTTTTGAAACCCTCAGTCTTGTCTGTGTTGGACGGTCTTTGTTTCTCAGTATAAGAAAGCCAGCCCTTGTTGTGTTAGTGGGCAACATTCATCTCTATCCTGCACAATGCAAAATCCCATCTGAGCAGTTGTAGTGTGGTTGTCTGGCAGCTTTAACTGTTCAGCGCTCCAATGAGCGTTTGTCTTGACTTCTGCTGGATCGCTCGCAGGCAGTGCCGTCTGCATTGCGCTCCTGCGCGCTAGCTGTTGTACTGTTTTTGTCCATCTTGAGAAATGATAGAGAAGTAAAAGCAGTAACTTTTTTACTTGAATCCTACCGACACTGAGGAAATGCAGTGTAACCAAACAAAACCATTTACAAGTGGTGAAGTGAGCTGTGCAGCCCAGTGCTATGAAAGCAACGATGTGCCTATTGAATAAAGTCTGCTTTTCAAAACCGTATGCGACTCTGTCATTGGCAACCGTCTAGGGGTTCTCTCCAAGAACCGGAAATATTTCTGAACGTTAAAGGAGGTTTCAGTCTGCTGAAAGCGCGCAAAGGTGCGTCGCAGCGTTTCTGTGCGCTGTGTTGGCGTGAGCAACAGTCGCTGCGTGCTGGAGGGACAGATGTGGCCTCATGAAGTGAGCTGGAGCTCCGAATGGGAGGGGCAGAGTTTCCACTACACGTCACCTGAGCACAGACGTCTACAGCTTGTTAGACTCCTGGCTCAGACTGATTTCAAGGAGACTCGGGCACTGATGCTTTTGAAGATGCCGGTTCTGTATCTCTTTGTTCCCTGTGGGCGGATGTGCAGTATGTGACGATGCTCTCGCTGGCCTTTGCCAGTGAGAATCTGTGAATGATTCAAATTCAGTCCTGAGGTGAGGTGCCTGTGGTGGGAGCAGTTTCAAAACAATCCCAGAGGAGAGAGGCAGTGACTAAATACCTCTTCGTCCTCCCCTTGCGTACAAAGGCCGGCAGAGGAGCTAGGGAAATACTAGAGCTGGAATGGCATCTCCTGCAGCGCGTGTGCAGCCTTGCACGCAGCCAGAAGCTGCTGCTGCCACTGCTGATACTGACGTGGTGCGGTGCCGTGCCATCTCTTCCTGTGATGACAGTGTCCCTACAAACTAAGTTGGGAAGCTCTGCCTTAAAGCAACGGCATTTCCAGCTAAATGACTGCTGAATCCTATTAAAAAATAAATCTGTGTATCTCTCCTTGTCACAGTTTAATGCAACTGGAAGAATACAACATTGAGCTTCCAAATATGGCACAAAAGCAAAATCTTAGTGCTACAGGCAGGATTATGCTAAATACTGGCAGAGAGACCATTGATATCTGACACTTGTATGGGGTGTCATTCGTGGTCGCTACCTGCTAATTTTTATACTGTGATATTCTTCCTATTTTTAACAGTGTGGGAGAGACTTCTGAACTCCTCCTTTAGCTAAATGTTCTGTCGATCAAAGCATGTGAGAGAGAACGTTATCAGAAGAGAGAGAAAACGACTTCTGCAAAGTAATTTTTTCATTCCCCTATCAGGTTTCTAATTCCTAGAGCGAGCAGAATCCGTGGCAGAGCGCTGCAGGGATTCATTACCCATCCCTACCTGTCTAAAGATGTTATACCATATTCATTACTTTGTCGTTCTCATAAAATGAAAAAGATATATCATACACTTATTCCTCCCAGCATCAATTATTTTTAGGGTAAGTAGATTAATTAAGCTGTATTATTTTACCCTGAAGTGGGTAAAATTCAAGTTTTTTTTAAATATTCTCTGGTCAAGTTTCAGGGCAATGGGTTTAACAGAGAGATTTCCTTTTCCTGTAAGGCTCCATTTTTAGTAGGTGGCATTTGTACTTTTCTGTAGAATCACTCTGTTCACATTGGCAATCAGTGGCTTCCGTGGCATTTTCTGTCTCTCTGATTCTGGCAGCAAACGAGTTTTACTACAAAAAAAGCACAGTAACTGGGCACTGAGCCCAGGGTAATGAATGTGCC